AATGCCATCTCAGACTAACTGATCTCAGTGAGAACTTACATTAAATGTCATCACTATGAAAAATGTATGAGCTAAGCATCAAGAAAACTCACCATAAAATAAGTAAATTTCATATATCTTCTTATCCCTTGAGTTATTTCAGTTAGATCTTTGCAGGGTTTGTGTGACAGTATTTTTTTTTTCTTCTTGTTCTGTGGGGCTTTTTTTGAGAGCTACAAATCCAAACTCAAAGCACTATCGATCTTCATTTCAAACTAGGATTTTGTAAAAACAGTGAATCCAAACCTTTGCATTTCGGTATTCTCCTCGCATTGATACTGAAGACTTAGACTCAACTCCCATGCAGGATAGCCTTTATTGCCTTTTTCAGTGATGTATAGCAATAATTTGAGCAAGATCATTAACCCATCCTGCATACTATTAAGATTTCTGTCACAGATCTAATTCTGCCTTTAATTTGCTATATGAAATCACTAAATTTCTAGGTATCTCACTGAATATGGATCTTTTCTAAAAGGAAAACATATGGAAAATATGCTAGAATTTGAAAACTTACCAAGTGTAACAAAAAAACAGAAGAGACTATCAACAACAGTGTCCATTATAGTTTCCATTTCTGTGTCCGTTATATCTGGTCGGTTAATGGCTAAAACAGTATGGAAAAGAGTTAAGAATAGGGTTAAAGAAGTTTATGCCACTTTAATACTGAGAAAGTGACCCTCTTCTTACCTAATGGCTGTTAACAGCCAACAGATTTTCTTGCAGAAGAGATCAAATGGTGAAATGCCCCTCTTAGCACATCCATTAGTCCTCCCCCTACCTTTTTTTTTTTCTTTTTTTTTAGAAAAAAACTGGGAGAACTTAATTATTGCTCACTGTATAAGGTAAAACACTAAACAATCTCTTCCAATTATCTCCGACAATACACACTGTAACTTCTGGATTGTGTTAGTATTGCATTATTAAAAACCTCCTAGAAAACCACATAATGGAACAGAAATGGCCATCCACTTGGAAACAATTTTTCAGATATAAAATCATCAAGAATTACTTCTGTAATTTAAACAGAATTACAGTATGCAGTTATCTATAATTAAAGATTCTAAATCCTGTCTCTTGTAATGGAGATTCCTTTTCTTTTTACCTTTTTTTTAAAAACAAACTTACTGTCAGTCTCCAGGTTAGGGATAATTCCCAAGTTCTAAACCATTTCACACTACAGACAGAAAGATTTCCCTCACATACTTAGGTCAGAACAAGAGACATGTAGCAACATCTCTATTAAGTAATTAACACTGACAAGAATATAATGGCCAACAGGACACATCAAACCTAATCTTATCACAGGTCTCAAGTCAGGCACTACCTCAGGACTCATGCCATAAATCCCATCCTCCTCTGTTTTACTTTACCTTTTAAAATTTCTCACATAATTACCTTTCTTCAAAAATGAACTTCAAAGCTCTGAACTTCCATTCCTATATATATAAGCCTTCCGTCCCCAATTTATGCATGGCCAGCCACAATCATTCTCTAACTTTAAGGTGCTTTTTTCCCCAGCTTTTGTCCTCTGAGAACTTTAGAGAGATGGATTATACTAGCAATTTCTATCAGCAGCTATACTTAGTGAGTCAAACTTTTTACTAAGCTGCTAGGATGACAGATGTGCCCGCCTCAGCACCTTTTTTTATTCTGAGTTCAAGTTTCTGAAATATCAACACCAAGAAAGGCAGACTGTTCCCAAGATCTGTATTATTCTGTAATGACAAAGCTTTGAAATTAACTGGGGCTATCATTCTGTAGTTATATCTCCAACTAATGGTCTCCCAGTTTACGGGGGGGGAATAATCTTATTTTTACTCCCTTGCCTTTCTCAATTTAAAAATTTAATTCCCTCCCTATTATTATGTTTAAGATACTCATATATGATGTTCTGGTAATCTGCATATTGTCAGTGCCTTCTAATTTTTTGTAACATGCATTTTATGAACACATTCCTTTTTTTTGTACCATAGCCATCAACACAAGTATTCAATATTACTGCTCCTTAGGTCAACTTTTGAGAAACTCCATTAATAATCTTTCAGTAAACTGTTCTATCATGTTTTCTATGTATTCCTCTCTCTCCACTGTATCAAGCTTATCAAGGATACATCTATTACAGAAAAGTAAGCTTCGGTCTCCTACGTTTTCTTGTTGTTTTACAAAATTAATCCAAATTTGGTAGAGGAGCATTCAAACAGCATCAAACAGGATGCCAGGCACATTGACTTTATACCAATATTACCCATTTACTCTTCCTTCTACACAGTCATAGAAAAACAGAACCAAAGGGAGCCTGAGGGATTATCTAGTCAGTCCTCTTGCCCAAAGAGGAGTTAAACCTATGTTATTTCTGTGTCTAAACCAATTCCCAAAGCATCCCAGTCATGAAAATGCCGTAAAGTTTACAGGTAATCTATTCTAATATTTCACTATCTTTAATGTTAGAAAGTGCTCCTAATATCTGACCAGAAACCTTCTTGTAGCAATTTAAGCTTATCACTTCTTCTCCATTACTACATGGACATAGAGAATGTGTTATCTCCTTTCTGTCTGTGAAAGCCTTTTACATAACTGAAGAATGTTATCATGCTTATTTGTCCTGACATTACCTCTCTGTAAACTGAAAATTAACCTTATTTGTTGTATTTGTTCTTAGTTCATCCATTCAGCTACATGCATAGTAGTATATGGCAGTGCTGCTGCAAGAACAGCAAGCCGTCTTTCATCACCGTCAGATTTACATTGACTTATGTAGATTATGAAACTATATACAAACTGGCAGTTTCCTGCTAGGGTTACTCTCCAAAGGCAAAAAAGACCACTTCTTTGCCCCTGCACTCCTACTGCCTGCCTGTGTCAGATCTAAAACTCACACAGCGAGGTGGATTGGCTCAGTGCTTTAATGGAAAACTAATCACTCTCTGTGAGAGATTAGATTTCTGTTCAATCAGCTTTTGGAAACAGCTCACTTCTAGATTGGTTTAAACATAGTGTGAAACCATAGTGTGTGCCATGTGGCACAGGACAGCTAGCAGGAATCTTATGAGAGCTGGTTAAGTATCTTTACATACACACAAACAAACTACAAAACAATTATTACTACAACTCCTAACAGCAGGTTTTAGTAAAAAAAAAAAAATCAAAGTCTGCTTTTCAAACAAAAATGCCCTTCATTCTGACAATGGAATCAATCCCCAGTGTGAAACAGAACTCAGTATTATGGATCCAGTTTTAAAGAAAGGTGCTGACTTTGGAAATTGGGCAAGAGAGGAGAAAAATCTCACTGCTAAATGTTAGGCATACAGAGACTTCTCATTTCTACCTGGTCACTAGAGAGTGTTCTGTGCATCCAAATAAATCAGGAATTAACTGTGTGACACTGTGTGTAGAAACTGTGACTACACTAAAGTAATGAGGATCTGCTGCTAAAAAAGGAGTATCTTGCCTCTGACTTACACACTTCTGCTGCTTTGTTGTACATTGGATTTGTAGATCACACAAATGAGCTAGTATTTTCTATGGACGAAGTCAACTGAACAAACACTCTGCAGCTCCAAGATTACTGGTTCTGATGTAAAAGGAGGAGAATGAAAGAGACTATAGCAGAGGCAGCAAGACAACCCACCCTGTAATAGCCAGCCATTTGAGTAAGAGGGGCAGGATAGGTAGAGCAATAGTTCTCTAATGATTTAGCACATTGAATGGGTCAGGGGAGCACAAAAATCAGATCAAAGGAGGAAGGAAAACCGCATGGGCAGTTACGACAACTAGTACATATGTTGACTTGAGCTGCCATAGCATCATAGCAGTAGCGGCAGCCACTTGGTTTTCCTGCTAGGTTCCAAAACCGGTCTGACAGAAGTCCCAAGAAAAGAAAAAAAAATACGGCAAATTTCACTTGCAACTGAGACTTTATGAAGAAGTTGACATGCTTGGTTCACATGCTTGCAGAAGCAACCAGCATTTCTTATTTTCTAGAATGCCCTTTCCCACATTGCTCCCCACACTACTCCAGCCCCTGATCCTAACCATCTCCCCTTGCACAGCCCCACGTTTTCATGTCTGGGAAAAAAGCAGGTACTGACTGGTCATTGTCTAGAAGATACAGGAAACTCTATCACTTAAACTCATCTTTCTTGCTTTGAATTCCTTACAGTAATTTTCCAGCTGACCACTCACACAGAAACAAAATACTTAATTCCTTAAGAACTGCAGAAGCGATTATGACTAAATAGTGGTGCCTAAACACAGGAGCCACCCACTGTGTCTATCTACGCGTGTAAATAATATGAATTTTTTCCTATATTATTCCATGTATAAAAAGCCCTACTATCCATATATGTCTATACTGCAGTTTCGCTTTACTAGATTTGTTATTTAAAGACATAATTGTTTTTCAATATTACAACAGCTGTGTAGTAAAGATGCTGAATTTAATATCTAAGAACTGCCTGCTTCATGCCTTTAAACTACACATCTAACAGATTATCCTGAATTCTGAGCAGATCAAAGCAGAATAAAATCATTGCTTGGTCTTAGCTACAGCTTCAAAAGTGAATTTCAACTTTAGACATTCTGGTATAATTTTTATACAAATTTTACTTACCACGATACGAAACAAGTTCTTTGTTTTGGTTACACAATACAAACATGTCATCTTCTAAAGTAATAAAATTAAGATATTGATCAAACACCTAGAAATCAAGGAATAACAGTCAGAACAGTTCAGAGTGAAGCATAAAAAAAATTTATTGCTACTTCTTTTTGAACCATTTATAGAACTGCCTACTAAAAAGAAAGAAATGCAAGACATAATGTGTGAATTAAGCCTGTGTAAGTATTGAGTGACAAAACAAAACATTAGAGCACCTGAAAAGTGCTAAAGGAAAACAGTCTAACTTCAAGTATTTCTGTGGACAAAATTTTAGTAGCCGAAAACACACATGGAGGACATTATAATATTATAGGTTTATTTTTTTTATTAAAATGGACTACAACATAAACAGTGCTGTGCTCTCAGGCAGAAGAGAAGAAAGAGGGCAATATCTACACAATGAGAGGTTACAGCTCACAAATTCTAATTTTTCTGTAACATATCTGTACGTTCAGGGAAAAAAAATAAATCTCTCTATAGCACAAACTGTTAATGGGACATCACAACAGAAAAACAGATTTAAGAAAGTTAGTTCACAG